CGGGCTGGGCTGGGTCGGTGCCGGGCCGCCGCAGCTTCTCGGAAGGGAGGAGTCGCCCGGGGCTCTCGCCCGCCCGGACGCGGACTTCAACGCTCGCCCCGCCGTCTCCGGGCTCCGGGTCGCGGGTGGGGGCGGGGCTGGGCGGCGCGCTTCTCCCTTCCCCCACAAAACCTTAAAGGACCCTCCTGGAAGTAATGGGACTCGGAGGTGACTCAGCCTTACCCCTCTCGGTCCTCCCTCAGCCGAGGAACGTGAGGCCCGAAGAGAGGGGTCGATTGTGGCACTGTCGCTGCTGGCAGGAGTCCGCGATTGGGACCCGGACCCGATTCCCATCCCATCGGTGTTAACGCACGCTTCTTGCCAGGACCTTTTGCCCCTTCCCCCTCGAGGCTCGTTTTTTCTCTCCATGAGATGCAGAGATGCAAATCATAGGTACTCTCTGCATTAGATTGTGGCGAAGATCGAGTGATGTGAACGGAAGAATTTTGTGAACTGCCAAGTATAGTGATGTTATTATCTGTCTTTTCTGTAATTGAGGGCTGTCTCAATTTTACTTATTCTGCGTCTGTCCCAGGCTAGGATGAGTGTTAGTGCAAGCCTTTGGTAAGTGTTTGTTGAGTAAATGAAGATTCACGTTTGTATTTTGAGTACTTGTCCGAGGAAAGTTATTATTGTCTCTATTCTGGCTTCGGAATATAAAGTGAATATGCTTCAGAGAATTCTTGTTGAGTAAGCTTGGGTACAAGAGGCCCGAAAGAGGTTTTTTTTGTGTGTTATATATTTATTTTTTTATTGCAGATGACAGGATTGGACATTGAGAAGGACCAGATTATTGAGATGGCCTGTCTGATAACTGACTCTGATCTTAACATTTTGGCTGAAGTAGGTGATGCCATATAACATAATCCTACTGTTTGGAGGGCATTGGAAATCTAAAAATCATTTTTTCCCGTCTTGTTACTTAAAAAACAATTGAGATCCACATAGATTACAGCCCAAAGTAATAGTTGAGGTCATGGTAGAATTGGTACTAGATTCAAAGTAACTGGTTTATCTTAGAGCCTGGTTAATTTTTCAGTTAACCAAGTCAAAAATTTACATTTAGTGAGAGTTTACGGTGTGCACGGCATAGTTGTGTTTTTGTAGTCCCTCTTAGCCCTCACATCAGCTATAAAATAGGTGCTGTCATTATCGTTAAGGGCTTCTGGGTGCAGTGATGTTGAGTGCTTTGCCCTGGGCCGATGGGCTAGTTATTAGGGAAGCCATTTTAGTTTAACCCAAGAAGTCCCAGGAAAGTGCTCCTAACCAGTAATAATAATGGTGGTCCCATCAGGTTTGGTGACTCATAACAAGGTTTATACCTTTATGTCATAGCTTTGAGTTTAACTTGATTTCATATACAGTTGTCCTTCTGTATCCATAGGACATTGGTTCTAGGCCTCCTTTAAAGAGAACAAAATGTACAGATACTCAAGTCCTTTATATTAAAGGCATACAGTCTTTACATAGAAGCTATGTACATCCACTTATATGCTTTCACTGATCTCTGGATTATTTATAATTCCTGATATGTGAAATTTATGCAAGTAGTTATGCTATGTTGTTTAAGGACTATGTTAGTTTAAGGATGAATAACAGGAAAAAACATTGTACATATGTTTTCCTTCCAAACTTTCACAGATTTTGGCTAAATCTGTGATGCAGAAGCTGTGCTTAAGGAGCTCTGACTGCCTTTTTCTCAAGATTTGTGTTTCTTCTGCTTCTAACAGTATTTCTAGAAATGCTTTCTTGTTGACATATGGCCGTGATAAAGGTTTTTACATGCCACTTTAACTGAAGCATTAAGCAAAACAAACAGCTGTTGCGCTTCAGCCACTCCTGAAACATGTAATCAATGCCTGATACTGTCTCCTTTGAGGGAATGAAATCCCTGACTGTGATGACTGTTTCATATTGTCAGCAGCATTTAGAGTTATTAAAAGAATACCTGTATCCAAGAAAAAAGGAAAGGAAAAAACCTGTGGGAGAAAGTAGAGATGGTGAAATAAGTCCCAGAGGGTAGGATTGATGGGTTACTGGCAGGGGATAAATTTCATAAATCTGTACTTCAGACTTTCATTTATTTCTTAGGGAGGAAAAAGAGGTGAGAAGGCATCTCCCAGATAAACTGTCGCATTTATAGAGGGTGGACTTACGTTCCTGACAGGGCTTTAGAATCATTAGACTATTTCTCATAACTTTCCTTCTAAGCATTATACAAATAAGGCCCTGAGTTTTTGGTCTGGTTGCTTTTTTTGTGACTTGGAATTTACTGGAGACAAATAGGGAAGAGAAGTGTCTTTATTTTACCGGTCCTACTTACTCTTGGCCAAAGACATGTTTTTTTTTTCTTAGATTGTTGATATAATGTGAAATACTGGCAGTTTAATGGACCCAGCAGGTTGATATGTGCCCTGGAGGAGATGTGGGTTTGTGTTCACACAGCTGCAGATTAGTGGAGCTGTTTTAAATACACTAAGTCAGATGAAGATTAAGTTGTTTTTCTTTCATTATTCTTCTTTTTTTTTCCTTAAAAAAAAAAAAAAAAGCTTTGGGGCTATCCATTCTATGGAAAATAGGTTTTATTCTCATATTGGTTTGAGGAAAATGTTTTATGAAGTAGAGGCATAAGCATTGGATTCTGAAATTATTTTGTGGATAACTTAATTTACTAAACTACCAGATCTTGTAGACTAAATTAGTAGATTTATATATAGGTAGTTTGCTCTCTGCCAACATTGTTAGAAGCTTTTTTTTTTTTTTTAAAAACAGTATGAGGTTTTTTAACTATCAGAGTAAACTTTTTGTTTCTCTGTGGAGATTGCCAACACCAGTTTCTTTATTTGGCTAAAGCTCCTTTTCTGTTGTAGGACTGAAGTGTTATTTTAGGCTGATTCTAGTCACTTCTTCCAGTGATGGCAAACTTTTTAGCACTGGTAATCATAATACTTTGAATATATAGAATAGTTCTCTTGCAAACAGACCAAAGAACTTTCGTATGTATAATTTCTTTTATCCTGTTAACATCCTGATGAAGGAAGGAGGACTTTTTTATTGTTATTACTCTCTTCCAGAAAGACAAGCTTGCTTTAATGTGCTGGTCAGGCTCGTTACTGCTGGACTCTGTCCAAAAGACTCACAGTTAAAAAGCGCTGGTTAAATAGTGCTGAGAATTTGAGGTCCATTTTTTTTTTTCTCCCCAGAGCCTTTTTTTTTTTAAACTATAAAACTACTCTCAAAGATATAGTGGGTAACTTTAAAGTATGTGAACAGTAATCTATTGGAATTTTGTTTTTTCTCTAATCCTGTTTTATTTCCCCAAATTTATGTATTTCCTTGTTGTTGTATATCCATATATAAATGCATACATTTTAAAAAATAAGTATAAATCAAATCATTTGTGTGTTAATATTCCAAAATTTGCTTTTTATACTTGGCAATAGTGGTATTTTTTAAAATGAACTTATCATCAGGAACTGGCAGACTTTTTCTGGAAAAAGCCAGATACTAAATAGTTTAGGCTTTGAATCACATAAAGCTCTGATATTTATTATTATTATTATTTTTATAATTCTTTACTATTTAAAAATGTAAAACTCAGGCTTAGTGGTAACTTTGAGGCCTTGGTTGCAGTCCTCAGCGTGCTCACCTCCGGTCTCTCTTTCTCTTTTTCTCTCTTTTTCTCTCTTTCTCTCTCTTTCTCTGTCTCTCTTTTGTCTGTCTGTCACAGACATGAACTAGAAAAAGGGAGTATAGTTTGCTGGATCCTGGTAGACATTTGCCTTCCATTAATAGACATTGTGGTTTTGAGTTGTGTGTATTCTTTTTTGCCTTTATAAGTGAATGAAGGAACATTCCTCTGAGAGTTCCAAAGTGTCCTTATTTCTTTTTTGGATAGAACGATCAGGTAGGCAAGCTTTATTTCTTTTTGTACTGTGACTTGAACTCGGGACCTTGCACTTGGCAGGCACTGCTAAGCTTTATTTGTAAGAGCAAGGTTACTCTTTTAGATTCTTTGTTACTAATGGCTTTTTCCTTCCACAGGGTCCTAACCTGATCATAAAGCAGCCAGATGAGTTGCTGGACAGCATGTCCGATTGGTGTAAGGAGCATCATGGGAAGGTAACATTACCAAATAACAGGATTGCTGCTTTGGGGATCAGTAACGAGCTTGTTGCACCCACATCTGAATCCTATACCATTGTTGGATGGTATTGAAAAAGGGTTAGAGGAAGATTGCTTGGCAAGCCTGGGAAACTGCTTGCTTGTTTACTTTGCATCTTTGGGACCTCTCGAGATCATCTTCTCCTGAATGTCCTCTTTTTTCTCTCCTACATTCAGTCTGTCGCGAACGCATTGTGGATTATCAAGTATTACTCAAGTCAGTCTTTTGGATAAGGTTAGACATCAACTCTTAGAGAAGGGGGAATGCTGCTCTTCTGTTAATAGTTGTTTCTTCCCAGAGGTTCTGTCTTTGGACTTTTGAGTACCATCTTTTTTGACTGTGTGGAAGTGCTATTAACAATGAGGAATATAACTTACTTGGCTTGGATTCTTTAAGAAAAAAGTTTGTGTAAAGTTTTAGTTTGAACCTGAGCTCTAAAACTGGTCCATCTGTGATTATATTTGCCCATTTTAGAAGTGAAATTTCATTTCTGGATACCTTTAAAAACTGACTTCATGTGTTTCTGGTGGGGGCTGGGGATTCTCTCTTGCAGTCTGGTCTTACCAAGGCAGTGAAGGAGAGTACAATTACATTGCAGCAGGCAGAGTATGAATTTCTGTCCTTTGTACGACAGCAGACTCCTCCGGGGCTCTGTCCACTTGCAGGTAAAATCTAATCCTATGTATATCTTGTAGATAGTCTTCCATTGTAGTGGTTCAGGAGACTGAAGTTCCAGAAAGACCAGCCAAGATCATCCATGTCTTCCACTTACCCTGATTTGGGTTGTACATCTTGCTTTTGTGTTCAAGTTTACTTGTGTAGTTTACAACATGACGATTGGGGAAATGTCTGACATCTGACATGGAATCTGAGAAACAGATGAATTCAGTGAAAATCCCCCCCCCCCAGCTTTGTTGTGGAAATATTTCAAATGCATGGAAAAGTTGGATTTAGTAATTATTATCCTTGTGTCATTTTTATTTTACTATTTTTTTTGAACATTTAAAAGAAAATTGCAGTCATCATGACACTTTATTCCTAAAAACTTCATCAAGTATCTCCTAAGGAATATTTTGTTATGTAAAAATATCATTAGTGCATTAAAAATTAAAGTCTTTAATATATGACATCTAGCCCATATCCAGAGTTTCTCAAAATGTTTAATTGTTTCTGAATCAGTGTTCACTCAAAGCTTATACATTTAATTTGATTATCATGTCCTATTAGTCAGTTTGAAATTCTGTCCCATCCTTCTTTTCTTTTTAAATGCTTATGACATTGACTTTCTAAGGAAACAAGGCCAGGTGTATCAGAATTATTAGAGGACTGACACTGTGAGAGAGAAATGTTCTTGGAGGTGTATTTGTATTTGTATGTGTAAGTTAATGTGATAACACTTTCCTTAAACATTCATAAAGAAAAGTTTGGCATTACGTATGAGAGCATATATTGTATAAATGTTTTCTCCAGCCAATGTGGCTGATGTCTATTTAAAATTTAGTGTTTTTAATTTCTGTATGGAAATATGAATATGGATATGATCTGTTTAAACATTTGGATTGTAAATAAAGTTTTATCTACTTATAATTCAGCTAAATTTTAAGTGTTAGTGGTGTGAATTTTTTGACACTGGGAGAAAGTTTGCACATCTGGCATGAAAAACAAGTACATTTATGTATTTTAAGCATGTGGAATGATCTTTTAGTACATAAGAGCCATTTACTAATTTATTATCTTCTAGCTAGACTGACTAGAAACTGGGAAATCTGCATTTGGAAACTAGTAAGACACACTCAATACTGATTTAGAAATTTAGAGATGCTTATAGGAATTGTTTGGATTAAAATTATTTCAAATACAATTTATGACTATATCCTGTTGTGTACCACTAGAAATACAGAGATGCAGTATGCTTCATGTCTTTCTAGGAAATTCAGTTCATGCAGATAAGAAGTTTCTTGACAAATACATGCCCCAGTTCATGAAACATCTCCATTATAGGATAATTGATGTGAGCACTGTTAAAGAACTGTGCAGGTAAGGGTTCTATTTAGGGTCCATTAACTTGCCTTATTTAACATGTTTTAATTGAAAATTTGTGGAAAATAATTGAATAGAGCTGAGGGTGCTAACTGGGCATGTATCTTTCCCGTTCTTGTACAAGATCTTAATTTTTCCTCGCTAGTGAGACTTGGGCGAAACATCAAAAGTCTCCGTATAAATTTCATCTGAAAATGTGTGGAGCACTCACTTTGTGCCAGGAGTTGGCTTATCTGCTGGGAACATATGGAGGAAAAGCTCTTAAGTAGTTGAGAACCTAGTGGGTTGGGAGAAATATAGAAAACACGCTCTAACAATGTACTGGGAGATGACTTCCGTGACAAGAATGCATGTAGACTGTGAGGGAGCTGGAGAAGGAATACGTGGCCATGCTGGAGCAGAGGAATGGGAGTCAGAAAGCTGTACGCAGGAAATAGCTTTTCAGTTTAAAGAAGGAAAGTTTTTTAAGGCGTTTAAGGATATTACATTCCTGAGAGTGGGCAGAGATGAGAATGTGAAGGAGCAGGAAGCCAAAGGCAAATGTGTGCAAGAATTATAGATAATTTGATAATGCTGGAGTGCAAGATGGGAGGTTGGCAAAGGCAGGACGCAAGGCTAAATAAAGTGTGAAGGGCTTGTGCATAGTTCCGTTGAGGTTAGTAAGGGATGGGATTCCTTTGATAATGTTTAGAAGAATGGATAATATAATTAGATCATTCAGATTATAAAGTGGGAAGAAAAAGGAATAGGGAAATAAGGGAGACAATCACCTTGGAAGGAGAAAAATGACCTATGACCTAGCAAAGTGAGAGGTTGTGGGGGAGGGGAATGGAAATAGAATACTGGAGAGGCTTAGTTGGCAGGATGCCAAAGGCTCAAATGAGGAAAAGGAAGAGTAGACAGTGATTCTGGCATTTGGAGTTTGGGCAGCATAGGTAGAGTTGGAACTGTTCTAAGAAAAGGGAAAATTAGAGGAAGACTAGATTTGGTGGATGGGTGGGAGCTATTGAGAAGGCTGAGTGTGGGTTTATATATGTTTTAAAGTGTCTGGTGAGCGTTTATGTGCTGTCTAGTAGGCAGTTGGATATTTAGGGCAGAGACCCAGAAGGGCTGAGCTGGAGCTAGACATTCAGGAACCCTCTCCATTGATGAATTTGCTGAAAGAAAATAAATACATTGAAGAGAGGAAAAGGTGGATGGTAGGATGGTAGGCAGAGGCAATGTGAGAATCCAACCCAAATGTCTTTTTCAGTGTTAATTAATTACTTGAAGGAGGTAGCTATTATTTGAGACATTTTCCTTTGAGAGTTCCATTTCTGCTGTGTGTAGACGCTGGTATCCAGAGGAATATGAATTTGCACCAAAGAAGGCTGCCTCTCACAGGTAAGAGTGGGCCCCCGGTGCTTGTCAGCCCGACGTATGTCATTTCTAAATTAGTGTCTCTTCTCCACTCTTCTTCCTTAGGGAAAGGTAGAGGTCAAAAGGAAGAAAGGTAATTTTATTAAGATATCAGGAATTCTGGTCAGGATTCAGGTATTCCATTCCGAAGAGGATTGTGTAGTCTTTTTTTTTTTTTTTTTTTTTTTTTTTTTTTTTTTTGTCTTGTGATTTCAGACTACATTATAGTTTCACAACTTTTAGGTAACTTGATTTATACTCGATGACGTAATCTATAATCTTCCTAGAGAGAAGCAACATGAATTTTCTTGTCATTTGAAATTAGAACACTTTGTGTATAGTTGTATAATACTGATGTCCTGTGTTGACATTTTCAGGTTATTTTGCATTGGGCATAAGTACACAGTGAGGTTAGAGATCTTTTGCATCAAATGTATTGGACCATTTCCATTTTCTTTTGTAGTTTTTTAGAAACATGAAACCTGATTTGGCTTTTAACTGTAGTCTTGGTTCACTTAATACTGAGTTCACATTCTATGCAATGCAGTTTGAGACAGATTAGTCCCACGTGGATAGTGTGATTTTTTTTTTTTTTTTTTTTTTTTTTTTTTTTTTTTTTTTTGGGTATGGAACTGGGGATTGAATTGAGGGCCTTGTGCATGCTAGGCATTTACTGCTGAGCTTACATCCTCCTCAACCCTTTTTTAATTTTTTGAGACAAGATCTTGTTGAATTGCCAGATAAGTCTCAAACTTACAATCCTCTTGCCCTGGCATCCTGACTGCCTAGCATCTTGGGTATTTTTATTGGATGTGGCTGGAGTAGAGCATGGCAGTTCAGTTCTAGAATACGTAGGGCTTGAAATGTCTTAGATTTTAGAATTTTTTGGATTTTTAGAATAGTACTAATATACCTGGATTGTTTATCATTACGTAATGCCCCTAAAAAAGTTTTGATGAAGCCCTCTGTTGTAAAACACATTGGTATTTCTGTAGTGACACATGGATGTTCTCACCAAGTGGCATAATTAATCACTAAAGTCTTATGTCTGGGTTGGGATTGGTTGGGATTTTTTTTGTTTTTGGTATTGAGGATTGAACTCAGGACCTTGCACTTGTCAGGCTAGCACCTGTGCCACTGAGCTATAGCCCCAGCCCTGGATTGGTTGGGTTTTGCTGTATTGTGGTTTATAAAATTACTATGGGGTTTCACATGTGTCTTGATACTTAAGTATTATGACAAATTGTGTACCGTAGCTAGAGGCTGTATTTTTGACAACTGAAGCTCTCTTCATATACCCAGGACCTTAGAAAGCAGATTGTTTGTAACAGCCTAGCCACAGGAATGATTGTTATGAAGTTTGTACATTCCATTTTCTGTAAGAGGCCCTTAGCCCATCACTCAGAACTTACTTCCTTGAATACTGTTCTAATAATTTTGGTTAGCTAATTTCTGAGATGATAGCGGGTGAGAACTCACATTTTGGAAGAGAAAAGCTATTATAGGTAAGCTGCCATTGGTTATAGAACTATATAACCAATCAGGAGAGGAGGTGGATTCTCTTTTATGGCTAGGTACTGTCTGATCTGATAATTGATGTTTATTATGATGAATGAGTCACGAGTTTTGTTCAAGGGTATCATTGTATAGTTGAGGGATGTTAAACCTTGCACAGTTTCTCAAACTATTTCATATACTGTTTATAAATATTTCACAGTTGTAGAGAAATACTGAACACTTTGGCTCCTTAGGAATTTATGATGCACATTAATTTATTAAATGCTTTGCAGAGAACTCTAGAAATACTTAGCTTTTCCTAAACTTTCTTTACCCTGGAATTTTTTTTCTTGTCCTAGAACACACATTACCATCTTATGGAACAGTTTGGGGAGTTTTAATCTATGTTTTACAAGTTTTGTTAATCATCAAAAGTTTTTTTAGGGCCAGCCAAATAGCTCAGTGGATTAAAGCGCCTGCAAGCAGGCTCAGGGGCCGAGGTTTGATCCTGGGGCCTGCTGTGCTGGCCCTGCCCCCGGGGCATCCTGAGAAGGCAATTGAGACTGGGCGTGGTGGTGCGCGTCTGTAATCCCAGCTCTTGGGAGGCTGTAAACAGGTGGATCACTACAAGTCTGGTCTAGTAGTGAGACCCTGAACACTCTGTAGACCCTTCCCTAAAATACAAAAAACAAAACAAAACCAAAAAAAAAAAAAACCAAAAAAAAAACCCAAAACAAAATAAAAAGCTTTTTTAAAAAACTTGCCTCTGCGTTACTGAAATGTTCCATTTCTTGGTGATTCTGGATAGTAGCATTTATAGTAACTTGTTGTTCTTAAGTTACTTAAGTTTATAAAATAATTCCATCTCTAATTTTGGACATTTTATTCAGTGTGGTATGTTTGCTTATAGGGCACTTGATGACATTAGTGAAAGCATCAAAGAACTTCAGTTTTACCGAAATAACATCTTCAAGAAAAAAACAGATGAGAAAAAGAGGAAAATTATAGAAAATGGGGAAAATGAGAAGACTGTGAGTTGATGCCAGTTCTCATGCTGCCACAACATAGTTCTCTGGAAGCGACTTCTAGTGGTTTTTTCCCTCCTTTTTCATGCTGATTGTTTGGCAGAGCTCTTTTAGTTAACTTTCATCTCCAGATTACTCAAGCACACAACACTATATACTGTTTCCATTGTACACTGAAGCTCCTTTGTAAGTACCAGGTCATGCCCATCCCTTGGTACATACTTGCATTTGCTTTTAGACTATTTCTTTTGTTTAATAATAAATGAATAAATAAAACTAGTTGTATTGAAATGCACACCTTTTTGTACCATCTGTTATTTAGAACTGGGAAAAGATGGCTTTTTCTTGTGTTATGGCTAATGTTTAAATTCTTACACACTTGGATTATGTTTCTACGTCAAATAGGAAGTGAATTTATTCTGTTTTGCTTTACAAGTCAATAAAATAATGATCTAGGTACAAAGAAGCAGATTTGGACTTGTTATCGAACTCACAGCTCTGGAATAGCTACCTCTTCACTACTTTGAAGAGATTCAAGTTGACCACCCAGCAAACTGACATTCTGTAAGTAGCAACTAAAGTTTATTTCCTGGATGATGTGTGCAAGGCAGTCACTCTGCTGGGCTTACATAACGTCACTAGTTTGCTGTTCTATTCTAGGTCAGTTAACAGCCAAGACAGGATTTCAGTTTGACTATATTAACTCCTAAGTTTATGTGGTCAATTGACTACAGTACTAATGTGGGTGCCGTAGAGGTCAACTGAATAATCGTGTGAGGAACAGATCTAATTTTCATGAATACTTCTTTCAGATAAGGAATCAGAACTGGGAAGGAGGGGGCCGGGGAGAAGCCTCAGTGGAATAAGCGCTTCCCTGGCAAGCGCAAGGGCCTGAGTTCAATCCCCGGTTCCACCAAAAAAAAAAAGAACTGGGAAGGGCTTTCGTATGACCTCCCTGTCTATGAGAACTACTGGACTTCAGGACTTATATGGTAATCCTAAGTTATATTCCTACTCAATTTATATGAACATAGTAGTGTGGTCGTAATGTATTCTTGAGAACAGTCTTACTTTTCATTTGAGCAGCACTTTATTAAAAGTTTTATCTGTGCAACAACTCTGTGTGGAGGAAGGTTTTATCATAACTTTCTTCAAATGAGCAAATAAAGACTGGAGTCATGTCTAGTAAGCCTATGTAGATGAAAATATTTGACTAGTGTTCTGTTTTCTGGAACGGCGTGTACCAACATTAGTGGTTTGGAAGGCTAAACTGGGTAGTAATTAAGAACAGGACTTTTGGGTCAGTCCCTGGATTGAAATCCAAGCCCCTAATGTACCGAGGTACTTTGGCCAGTTTACTTTTCTACCCCTCAGTTTCTATGTTTGTAAAATGAGGTTAATAATGACATCTAACTCAAAGAATTAAATTGAATGCTAACATACATTTCTGAGCACAGTACTAGGTATAGAGTAGATTGAGGATTTGACTCTGTGGAACAGGGCAGTGTGGTTAATTATGAATAGGGCATTGTGCTAAATTTGTATTCACCTAATTCTTGTGACCAGTTCCGTCACACAAAGGACTCCAGCTGAGCTGGCCACTGAGACTGGGCGTGGTGGCACACACTTGTAATCCCAGCGCACGGGAGGCTGAAACAGGAAGATCACTATGAGTCCGAGCTGCGTGGTGAGACTGTGTACCAAATACATTAAAAACAACAAAACAAAAACCCCCACTAACATGACCTTGATTTGGCTTAGTGTTTCCGTCTACAATTTGCCAAGGTAGTGTTTGCTCTTTAGCCTTCAGGAATGTTACAAATTCTAATGTAAGTATAGATACGAAAACACAAAGCTTAAGACAAAGGTTCCTAGAAACCTTAAATGCAGTGCTATTACTGCTTGATGATTTCTCTACAAAAATGTGGGGTTGATTCATCAGTTGACCAGTTTGAGCCATGCCATTACATTTAAACAATTGTAACTCTTGGTGTTGATTTTAAATCTTTGTTTCGTGAATGGCTACTTTTCTGATTTAATCCTTGGATCTTTATCCGCATCACATAGCAAAATTCTTTTATCCCAGATGAAGACTGGCAGCCTGTTAGATGAGCAGATCTAGCCCAGAGCAGGTATGTATGAAGACACAAGGGCTCAGTGATAAGTTCATTATTTACTGGTCTGCTTACACATAAGAAATGTGGATTTGTCGTGCTAATAGTTAGGATTTCACAGGGGATCCTTAAAGCTATGAATGATTTTATTAAATGATTTCCATTGCAAATTGGTTTATAATTGCAGCTTGAAAAATGCTCAGTGTGTTTACTTAGATCTTGCCATTCTAGTGTTCTTGGGGCTTCTCATTGGTGATGGTTCTGTCTTTATAGCAGTGGTCCTGCCAGTGGTGTTCCTAGGGTCATCCAGCGGTGTTTCCTCCACGCTTAACCCATGAGGCGGAGGAGGCAGTACTGAGGAGATGATCACCAGTCTGTATTTTCTCAGTAACTCAGCCTTTACTACTGAGTATAGGGAGAGAACTTCTTTCTGGTAGTTTAGCCATCGGTACAGATAATACCTGAGATGGCTGTTTTTCTCAGAAACATTCTTACCTGTTTAAAAAATAAAAAAAACCAGAAAAATTCATAAGAGAAACTGTTATTTGGCAGAACTGACATTTTATAGCTAGTCATAATGTTAAAGTGCAGTTTTGTCATGTTGATTGCCTTGTGGTAGTTCACGTCCCAGGATTATTCAAATGCCATAACATTTTGAAAAATTAATGAGCAGCATGGGCAGTGGAAAATTGGTTGTTAGTATGATAGGCCATATGTAGCAGATTGATGAGGGCAAATGTATTTTGTTCTTTATCTGTTGATGACAGAATGTTATAGCATGTGTCTGTAGGTGTATATGGAATATCTATTATGAAAATTGCCTTGATTGTTTGAATAGAGCCTTTAATTCTATGTGGCTCATTATAAAACCATAGATAGTTGTGGATATAATATAAAGGAAGATATCTGAGCTTTTTCTTTGTGGCTGTTCTTTGAGATAGGGTCTCACTGTGCAGTGCAGGTAATTTTGAATTCATAGTAATCCTGCCTCAGCCTCCTGAGTGCTGGGATTATAGGTGTGTGCCATCACGCCCTGCTGATCTGAGCATTTTCTACTGAGTAAAGGAATATCGTACCTTCAAAATCCTTGTAACAGAGTTGTTAAGTCTTTATTCCCTTAAAACACAAGATGTAGCAGTTGTGAAAGCAACTGCAGTGTTAAGCTGATTACACAGGGCCTGAGACTTATTCTTTAGAACGATTTGATCAATTTAGGGTTGTACCTGTGTTGTAACTTGGTTGTGTATGGAGGGGATGCACCCTAGAAAATGAGAAATTTGAAGAATGTGGAACAAAAATAATGTTTCTGTGCAAATGTCAGTGTACTAATGTCACTGAACTGCACATTCTAATTTTGTTATTTATCTTTTATAAATATAATTTTATGTCATTTATATTTTACCACACAAGTATACAAAGCACACATCATTTGGCATGACGTATTTTCGGAACGATCCTGTCATGCAGGCCACATGTAATGGGAAGGACTTGGAGTTGTTGGACTCTTGACACCATTGCTTGTGTCCATTGGAAGAGTTCACTTTTCTTAGTTTCTCAATTTGGAATAGCAGAAATAGACAATTTAGGGAGATGTTTTCTTCAATGTAAAAAAAAAAAATTGCTATTTTTGTTTATAGAAGGAAATGTAATGAATATCTTAAGGAGCATTCAGCCTCCTTATCTCTGAATTTAATCACCTGACATTGAGAATGAGATTCTTCTGAATTCTGAGCTTGGTATAATGCTTGGCTACTCTAGGTTAATAAACCCATTTTGGCTGGATTGGAACTCATTCAATCTCTCTCTCTCTCTCTCTCTCTCTCTGTTGCTCACTCACTATGTGTGTGTATGCCACCACACCTAGTGCTATTTTGTTTTTGTTGAACAGCTTTTGTATTTTGAATTCTATTTAATCACTACACAAATAATTGAATGATAGAATTATTGAATTAGAGACTTACTCATCTTGGTTGTACTGTTTGTTCAAATCATTCATTTTTCTTATAATTGGCTTATTTTTTTTACCACCCTAGAGGTTCAGAAATATCTTACTACATTGTATCGTCTCACTCTATTTTAAAAGTCTTCAAAATGGGTTGACATTTTATGTTTATAATTAATAGCTGGCATAAAAAAACCTATTTCCAAATTGAAGAGCAGCACAGGTATGTATATTAAAAGTCCTAGCCTTTTCTCAAGTGAATTAGGAGCAAATTGCTACTGTCTCACTGGTTGTGGTGAAATGTACATTTGATGAACAGACTATAATGAATGTTTAATTTAAAAATTTATTACAGTAGAAGACACATTGCCATTGATCACCTGCAGCATATCCCCCATGCTTCGAACACATTTACGCTATTGCTCTTGGCACTTGCTGAAGCAGTTCTGCAGTTTCTCGTTTACGAGTGTCTGTACAAGGTGTGGCCCGAGCTATGGTGGACATTGAGCTGACTGTCCTCCAGCTGGAAGCAGCCTGTCGAGACTGCAGAATGTCCTCATGTGTCTAATACACTGCCTCTGGCACATGCCACTCGGACTTTTAACTCAAAAAGATTATAAATATAAACACTTTGAATCAAGGCAACAATGAGAGTGCACCTAAATATATTCGTTTCCCATTAATGTTAGAGAAATGATTCACTCTGCCTGCTGACTTGGTGGGTGGTTTTTTTTTTTTTTTTTTTTCTTTTTCTTTGGTCTTGGATCCTGTGATTTTTTTTTGTTTTTGGTATTCTATCTTTCTTGGCCTTTTTCATACTGCTCTTTTAAGACACTTCAAAGAATTTTTAAGTAATAACATATTTTACAGCCTGGCATGATCGATCATACACACTTACAATCCTAGTACTTGATAGGATCGGGCAGCCCCACCCTGGGCTACCCTGTTTCACAAAAACAAAGAATTGTACAAACAAGCAAGTTTCAGTGTGGCATTTCTGCAAACATTGTGATTTGATTATGGATAATCACTGTCCCTTCTCTGGTCCTCTCCTTGTCCCCTCCTCTCATTTGCCTTCCTCTTCCCTAATAATCTTGCCTACTTTGAGAGTTATTTTTTTTTTGTGTGAAGCAGAACACTTGTCCTTCTCCATATGCTTTATTCCCTTTAGCATGGTGTCTGCCGGGTCTGTTTTCTTGCAAATAGCATAATCACTCTGCTTGGTGGATCCATACTGTA